GGACTATGCTGCAGCCTGGTTCTCAGTCTCTGACACACACACACACAGGACTATGTTGCAGAGATAGTAGGAACTGCAGATGCTGGAGAATCCGAGACAACAAGGTGCAGGGCTGGATGAACACAGCAGGCCAAGCAGCATCATAGGAGCAGAAAGGCTGACGTTTCGGGCCTAGACCCTTGATCAGAAAAGGGGGAGGGGAAGGGGGTCCTGAAATAAATAGGGAGAGAGTGGGAGGCGGATAGAAGATGGATAGAGGAGAGGAAAGGTGGAGAGGAAACAAACAGGTCAAAGAGGCGAGGATGGGGCCAGTAAAGGTGAGTGTAGGTGGGGAGTTAGGGAGGGGATAGGTCAGTCCAGGGAGGACGGACAGGTCAAGGGGGCGGGATGAGGTTAGTCGGTAGGAGATGGGGGTGCGGCTTGAGGTGGGAGGAGGGGATTGGTGGGAGGAAGAACAGGTTAGGGAGGCGGGAGGCAGGTTTTGGGATGCGGTAGGGGGAGGGGAGATTTTGAAGCTAGTGGGCCCAAGCTATGCCTGCCTCTTTGTAGGTTACGTGGACGCATGGGCCCAAGCTACGCCTGCCTTTTTGTAGGTTACATGGAATAATCCCTCTTCCGTACCTACACCGGCCCTAAAACCCATCTCTTCCTCCGTTACATTGATGACTGTATCGGGGCCGCCTCGTGCTCCCACGAGGAGCTCGAACAGTTCATCCACTTCACTAACACCTTCCACCCCAACCTTAAGTTTACCTGGACCATTTCTAACACCTCTCTCCCCTTCCTGGACCTCTCTGTCTCCATATCGGGCAACCACCTAGAAACCGATATTCATTTCAAGCCCACCGACTCCCACAGTTACCTAGAATACTCCTCCTCCCACCCACCTTCCTGCAAAAATGTTATCCCCTATTCCCAATTCCTTCGCGTCTGCCACATCTGCTCCCAGGATGAGGCATTCCACTCCCGTACATCTCAGTTGTCCTCGTTTTTCAAGGACCGTAACTTCCCCCCCATCAGTGGTCGAGAACACCCTCAACCGTGTCTCCCACATCTCCCGCAACTCATCCCTCACACCCCGTCCACGCAATAAAAACCAAAAAAGAAGCCCCCTCGTCCTCATGTACCACCCCACCAACCTCCGGATCCAATGCATCATCCTCCGACACTTTCGCCATCTGCAATCCGACCCCACCACCAAAGACATCTTTCCCTCCCCACCCTTATCTGCTTTCCGGAGGGACCACTCTCTCCGTGACTCCCTTGTCCGCTCCACACTCCCCTCCAGCTCCACCACACCCGGCACTTTTCCCTGCAACCGCAGGAAGTGCTACACCTGCCCCCATACCTCCTCCCTCACCCCCATCCCCATCCAAGGCCCCAAGAAGACTGTCCACATCAAGCAGATGTTCACCTGCACATCTGCCAATGTGGTATACTGCATCCGCTGTACCCGGTGTGGCTTCCTCTACATCGGGGAAACCAAGCGGAGACTCGGGGACCGCTTTGCAGAACACCTACGCTCGGTTCGCAACAAACAACTGCACCTCCCAGTCGCGAACCATTTCAACTCCCCCTCCCATTCCTCAGACGACATGTCCATCCTGGGCCTCCTGCAGTGCCACAACGATGCCACCCGAAGGTTGCAGGAACAGCAACTCATATTCCGCTTGGGAACCCTGCAGCCCAATGGTATCAATGTGGATTTCACAAGTTTCAAAATCTCCCCTCCCCCTACCGCATCCCAAAACCAGTCCAGCTCGTCCCTGCCTCCCTAACCTGTTCTTCCTCCCACCTATCCCCTCCTCCCACCCCAAGCCGCACCTCCATCTCCTACCGACCAACCTCATCCCGCCCCCTTGACCTGTCCGTCCTCCCTGGACTGACCTATCCCCTTCCTAACTCCCTACCTACACTCACCTTT